TCTTTCGTATGCCAAACAACTTGCAGCATTCATGGAACACAGCTGATTCGAAGTTATGGCCTTGATCCGAATGCAGTCTATAATGCATACCGCGCGTGAAATGTGAAATTATAGGGGTGGCTTATTAGAAGATAATACACATTTTTTTTCGGTTTAGAATTTGTGGTATAAATTGAACATATCATATCTAAAAACAAATAAGTTCTAAGCTTGGAAATCCTCATACTGTAGGCCATTCTCTTTTTAAACTTATTTTAAAGTAAACGTGTAACCAGTCTTAAAGTTTTAAATTTATTTTACTTCATTAACCAGTACCTAATATTTACTTAAACGTGCCTAGATTTTGTAAAGGTATTCTGCTATAGTGAGTATCAATCAAAAAATGTATTGTATCGAATGAAGATGCAGTTAGATAACAGAATATATATATATATCGATATTAAAATTTTATTTTGAAATTAACAGAAAAAAGTTATTTAATTATATAACTATATTTATATTCTTAGTGCTTCTGTTTCAGAGCTACAGTGTTGTATATAAGAACAACAGTTTGAGACTTTTAAGTGTAAAATATTCATTGATTTTGAATACTTATTGCAGCGATGAAGATATAGAGATATTACACTTCGTCACGGTAAAGAAAGGAAAAGAGCTTGGCATTTTCTTTGTTATCGTAACAAAAGAAGACCGTACTGTTCCTGTTTTCAGCGCTCAGCAGCTTCTGAATATTATTGATCTATACAATGAATATCCCAAAAGCAGACTTAATTACACGGTATTGTTTCATTCTCACCTTAGAAAACCAACTTGAAGATTGATTATAGTATATGTTAATAGCTTGAACTTTGGTTATAGTTTATTTTAATAACTCTTGAAAGTGTACGATACTAGTCACAGAAATGTGTCTATGGCATATTAATACTGTGCATAACTCGCAACGAATAGTAACATATTTCTTGTTACGTTTATATGCCATTTCCATAGGCCTATTTAGTTTAATATGTTAACGTATTTAATAAGAACTATTTAATTATTAAAGTACACGTATTTTAACCAATTATACTAGACAGTCACAATTAGATTTAAATGATTTTATTATGTAAAAAAAACAAAAAAAAACTAAGCAGTTGGGTTGATAAAGTTTAAAAAATAGCCCCTCCTCCTTGAATCTGACCTTGGGAACTACAGAATCAGAAAGAGATTTAGAGGTATCTTATCAATGTGTAAACAAATTTATCCTGATCGAAACAAAACCATATATCCCATTGTTATTAGAAAAAAATATAAGAGCATTTTTTCTTCTCCTTGGAAGTAGTAAGTAGGTCGTAATTATTTCTTAATTTGCTTCATTTCAGATATCAAGTTGTTCACAATTTGACAGTTTTCACTGGATAAGAGGAGGACTCATCTGCTTAGCTCTTTCAGCTTTCATCTTCATCCTAATAGGATGGGGGAAATACGTTCCTAGATTAATCAGGTAGAAAATAATTTCACGTTTTTTATGCTGCTTTGTTTCGGACTTTTCTGCTTATACTCTTTGATTTCTACATACACAACACTGATTTATCCTGAATGACTGTGGCTAGTAATACTAACTGTTTCAATAGTGTCTACGATTTTTTTTATTGGTTAACTATCTTATTTTGATATTATTATAGTGGGTATGGTTATTGTAATTGGCTCTTGTCATTTGCTTGTAGTTAATAATTTTAGGTGACGGTTGTCATAACTTACGTTTAATTTCAAAATTATAAACTCTTGTCGCATATAAAATGTTGATTGGTTTACTCTTCATAGTAGTTGACTGTTAAATTTCTTTAGCGGTTTAGTTACCGAATTTTTGTTGTTAAGGCCAGACTTATTCCATAGAAATGGTTTCTTACAGTCGTCTGTTTTATGCTGTCCAGAAGCACTCTAACGGATCACCTATAAGATTAATACTAAAACTCATAGACACAGATCTCGATCGAAAAGTAGGGGACGATTTAAGAAGATATTCGATAATGTTATTATTTATAACAAAAAAGTTCATAGTGACCAGCAGAGGGAGATGTTTCACATTATTCAGTAACATAGACAGCTATGTATGATTGCAGAGTACCGTTTGGAAAAATATAATTATATAATTGTTGTAATAATAATTAATCTGTTCCAAACGTCTGTGATGCATTTTAAGTACGGTAGTACTTAATAGTAGGGATCGCCAACGATTGCAAATAATTCACGCGCCGAAAAACCACCTTATCGAATTCCTAAGCAAAAAACTGACCATTCGAAGTATTGGTTAAGATATGTTATGCGCATATATATATATATATATATACACTAATAATATGCTAAAATGATCTAACAATTCTGGTGTAACAATTCAAAGATTCCTAAAACAGCATCTTTTTGGTCTACTACCTACCTACATACCTGATCACGTCAGTGGGGCTAGATCCTAGACATCTCGGAGAAATCGCTACACGATTTCTCCAGCTTACTTCACTGGTCTGTGGGTAGCCACTTTTGATACTTGGATAATAATACACACACACACACACACACACCCATATATATATATACAGATATAATATAAATGATAAAAATATCATGCACGTACTTAATTATCTTTTCAACCCATCGGATGGCGCTACATACCAGTGGATAGACACGCAACAGTTTCTAAAGGTAATGTATATACTTTATACAGGTATAACATAAAAAGTAAACAAACAAGAGTATAAAAATATGAATTTTAAAATAAAGTAAGGATCCTGCTACAAAAAGTAATGAAACAAGAATCCAAACCATAATCTCAAATTTATAAAATTTAATATTCCCTACTTTGACAGCTTTAGACACTTATCTATAGGCCAAAGTAAGGATTAAATTTTACAAATTTGTGGTTTTAATTCTTGTTTCATTACTTTTTATATCAGGACTCCTACTTCATTTTCAAATTCATAATTTTCTAATACTTTTGTTTAATTAAGTTTTAGGCTATTTGGGACTTATTTTCTTTAAACTCCAATAAAGGCGTTCTTTATTTTTTAAATAAATAAGTAAAATAGGTGTTTTCAACATTTTCTAAGTATTAAATTTCAACGGTTTTGTTTAAAACATATTCATTAAAACACATTTAGTAGAACAGATTCCGCTTTTTCAATTTCATTTTTTTTTTAAGACACGGCAATTTATTGTTTAAATAATGAAATCTTTTCGTAAAGTGTACGTCGCTTGTATACTTAGTGGAAGAGTACAATTAAGTACCCTTCATGTAATCGCTGAGATACCATAAAAGATTGCCGTCGACCAAAGTAGTGCACTAAATCTCGTATATGATGCAATTTGGAACATAGCCTGGAAACCGTCACAGAACGAGAGTCAAGTCGGAAACAGTATCGAACAGGTCATGTTTATAGTTTCCAACCGGGTTAATATATGAAACGAGGGGGGATACGCTGCAATCAAGTATAACACACACACACACACACACAAACAACAAAAAACAAACAGGTCTTTCAAGTGAGGGGACAGATACATATACCCTCCCCTCACTGCTGAAGGTGCAATACCTATGTCCCACCCGGCTCCTCAGATCGGTATCTAAGCTGAAACTCAGGGTTAAATCCTTGTGGTTAATACACTTTATATAGCCCATTGTATAGGAACAAACTTAGTCTTGCTGTCAGACTATATTCATACTGAAGACATGTCATGACAATGGCCAGTTACTTATTTCAAGAACACATGGATACTTACAAATATGTTTGTTTATTTTAAGCACAAAGCTGCACAGTGGGCTATCTTTGCTCTATTCACTGCGGGAATCGAAACTCGATTTTTAGCATTCAGTCTTATCGCTAAGCCACCGGTAAAAGAATCCAAAATACAAAATGTACTATCATAAACATTGTTTATGTAATTTAACCTTGGGATTGAAAAGTCGAGATAAAAAAATGTCAGAAATATCTCAACTAAGTTTTTGATATCAATTATTATGTGACTTTGGTTTATCGTTATATAGAGTCAAACATTTACTGTTAATTTAGTTTAAATTTAGCAACTTCCCCTTGCCAGAAATAATTTATTTGACTGAAATTGTTTTAAAATTATTGTAGTACTAGTATCTGTGATTAAGTATCTGTGGGGCCCGTAGCATTTTTAGAAAACAGGACCCCTATCTGCCAGAAAATATGTTCTTTACCGTCATTGTAATTTTTAAAACTTTAATATGACTGGTATGGTTTTATACATGAGAAACATGTATTTATGTCAAAATTTTTCGCATTGAAATATGTTAATTGTTTTTTCTTATTAATAAGGGGCCCGTAGCATTTGCTACTTATGCTAATAGGCTAATTCGACACGAAGCCTTCCTTCTGTCAAATATGAATTATAAGACTAAAATTGTTTTAAAACTATAACATTATTTGTTTGAAGTTAAACACAAAGCTACTACTTGTATACGCGTTGAAGCACTTTTTATATGCTTTTTTTATACATGTCTGCTGTGGTTTCCAAAAACTCACATTTTTCTCTCGGATATTCATTATTATTTATATTGTTATTGTTTTCAGTATATTTAATGTGTGTGTATATATATATATATATTGTCAAATATCATTACCGTACATGTTATTTATCTGCAGCTTTTAAGTCAACTTAAATTAACATTTTATCTTGTGATTATAATTTTTGAAATCTGTCAGAATACTGATGAAATGAGTTTTTTCCCTGTTCTGTAGATCTCCGATCATGATTCCCAATCAAATCCAATTCATCTTAGGGTCCATTCAAATATTACGCAACGCAGTTTCAAAGTTACATTAACTCCCCCCTTTGGTAACTTACAGCAACACGTTGGCCCTTTCTACCTTTCCCATTTTTACATAATACAACCGTTTCTCCACCCCAACGCACATAAACCACGCGAACATATTAGTTACGGACTTACCGCTGAATGGAACGTACTTTTATTTAAATATTTATCAAAATCCAATGTCTTTCGTTTTATCTTCAGCTACATTATATATCACCCTTTACTTTAGCGTCATCAGACTTTATAAGATTCCATAATGGCTGAGCCACTGAGAAGCACGTGTGTCTGTTTGTAGTTGAATAACAAGTTGTGTTCATTATCAAGTTTTGATGTGGATTTAGACGAAAACTGTGAGATAGAGTGAAAAATATACGTTTGGCAGATGTCCATTCACTGTTACTATCACGAAAACTGACTTATTTTCACCCAATTTACTCCATTCTGTATTCGTTTTAGTTTTTAGTGTTGTGCGCACAAGAGTACGGGCACTACAAAGCAACGTAAAAAGTGACATCCGATATAACGTGTCATAGATTAATACAACCTTCAGTAGGTTTTATTAATAGGCGTACGTCTTTTATATTTAAACTACGATTTTTAAGTTGGTCAAAAGTTTATTACGTAATTCTTAAAGATATTCTTCTCCCCTCATGTAACGTTCGGTAACGCTCAGGATATCCCCCTCCCACACGTTATGTAATATTTGAAAGGCTCCTTAGATTTCTATAACGCCTTTTTTTTTCAGATACTTCGATAATGGTACTGTACTTGAAAACAACAACAAAAAACAATTGCTTTAAAACAGTTGGTGTTCAAGTTTGTAGTCTTGAATATCCGGAAACACGTTTAGGTCCATAATCATGCAAATATTTTAACACACACTTATCAAGGAGTTCATTTACTCCGTTACCAAATTTATAAGAATATATAAGAACATAAATCAAAGTTTGTTTGCTTTTCTAATATAAGTTTGATAATGAACATTTTTGTAAAAACTGAAAGATTTTATGGCTGCATTGCCTTCCTTTTAGTGACTGTAACTTTGAAAATATTAAATAAGATATAATGAAAACTTTAAATAAAACTGTTTTTATGGTTTTAGCTTAAAAAGAAGTGGGAATCCTCAATAGCCGCGACTGTTATTAGAGATGGAGCTATGAGCTAAAAGTTTCAACTTCAATCTATGAGCCGCTATGCCGAGCCTAATTATATGTGTTTATGTAACGAATTTCTACCTGAAGGTATCCAAAGGTTTATTCTTATACCACGAACACTTGGTGACACTGACTGGAACAACTTAGACAAGCCAGTTAGAATGATTTCGTTAGGATAAAATTTTACATTACGCTTGAGAGGAATCACAGAATATAATTATTTCATTTAACAAAAGGAAAACGAATCACACTTGAATTCTGTGGGATATAATGTGCACGTCGCTTGAATCTGTCGTCTCTGAGATATTAAGTAGGAACTGGGTTTGCCGGTGGCGCCACTTTCGGCGAGCTTGTCAGTTCGAAAAGCAATCCTTTGGCTACGAAGAACTGTAAGAAGAAATCTCAATGTTATGAATGTAGAAACTTCAAAGTATAGCTTAACACTTTTTGGAATGACCTTGTTGATCTAAAGGACTTAGGGCAGGGAACAAGGGCAAATTAGTTCTGGAGAAGAGATAGAGAGTTAACTTAATACTACTGAATAGAACGCTTTGTTTTCCTTAATTTCAACAAAAGGAATGATTAAAGTGACTTTTAGAAACCTTTTTATTGATTAAATTTCTTAATTTTTTATACATGTCAATGCAACTTGAAATAAGATACATATATTCATTTATGTCTAGTCTGAATATATGAGTAGAGGCCTAATTATTGCTCTAATTGGAGAAAACCACGAGCGCTGATTTTTGTTCCCACGTTAAAAGTATTTTGGTAATGTTTATAGAGTCAGCGGTAAAACATTTTCGTCACTTTCGACTTGGACGAGTTTGATATTTGACCAAGTAAAGGAGTTAAAGAAAAAATTTAACATTATTCGTGAACGAGAATGGCTTCGTCATAACCTTTTACCAAATATATCCTTTATATCTAAAGTTATCAGAAAAAATCATGTTTGGTCAAAACCTTTTATCTAAGTGTACTTTCATATTTTGTTCATGTCATTTAGCGCGTAGCAGGCATTCTCAGGACTTCTACATTCAGAGACAGCGCCAATCCCTTCCTGATGAGGTGGGTTAGACAAAAAAAAATTAAACAAAAACAAATGAGGGGCTGCACTCTACATCTTGCGGGCACACATGCTGTAATATTTAGTAAGTGAACTAGTTCTTAAAGTAAGCATCTTTTTTGTGTCTGGAGACTCTAGGGGAGGCTAAGACATTTTGGGGTTACTTCAGCCCCCATCAAGACCCCCTTTCCCCCCACTGTCTACACCTGTATATAACAAATAATGTTTTGGGTGGCTGGAATGGTGACTATTCTTCATACGATAAAAGTCATGCCCTGCATACAGTATATGCTAGATATCAAGAAAAAGTGATGGGATTATTGTGTTTTTTTTTTTGTTACCTTTGTTCCTTAGTATTTGTTTTGAATTTCGCGCAAAGCTACACGAGGGCTATTTGCGCCACCCGTCCCTAATTTAGCATTATAAGACTAGAGGGAAGGCAGCTAGTCAGCACCACCCAACTTTTGGGCTACTCTTTTATCAACGAACAGTGGGATTGACCGTTGATATATAACGCTCCCACGGCTGAAAGGGCGAGCATGTTTGGTGTGACGGGGATTCGAACCCGCGACCAGCACAGTATGAGTTGAGCGTTCTAACCACCTGGCCATGTGTTCCTAACTTTGAAGTTAGTTTTATTCGTTTGAAGATGTTATGGCTTTTTTTTTTTATTTCAGTGAAACTGTGAGATTTTCATTTTTTGCAGTTTGGTTTAATCAAGTTAGAGTAGATTTAGCTAGATTTCTTTTTTGTTTAGTTTGTTGTATTTTTATTTATGCTCTGTGTTTAAACTTGACTATTTGACCTGAGTTTTATTTTATCTTTGTTTCATTTTACATGTTCTGATTTTTGTCAGTAATTGTACCAGTTTGTATTTATTTTGATTTTGATTTTGTTTCTGTGTTTATTCTGATTTGGTGTTTGTATTTATTCAGATTTGGTGTTTGTATTTATTCTGATTTGGTGTTTGTATTCATTCAAATTTTGTGTTTGTATTTATTTTGATTTCGTGTTTGTATTTATTCTGATTTCGTGTTTGCATTTATTTTTATTTCATGTTTGTGTTTATTCTGTTTTCGTGTTTGTATTTATTCTGATTTCTTGATCATATTTATTCTGATTTTTTTTTTCTAGTTTAGGTTAGAAATTAATTTGTATTAGTTTCAAACTTTTATTTACTCTAGTTAATGCATCTATAGTTATGCTTTAGCTCAGTTTTAGAGTGCTTTTCACAATTTTTCTCATTTCAACTTACTATATATTAATCTATTTTTTTTGTCTGTTATTGTTTCTCTTCTATCTTCATTTTTATTCCAGTTTTTTAGAGAAGGATTTAAATTATCCCCGTTGATCTTGGCTGATGCTGTTCATATGTACATTCAGTTTGCTGCTTTTTGTAATACATCCTATTTCTTGTTGTTTTCACTCTGTTGACGTACTTGTAATATTCATATGCGAGTACATTTATTTAAATTTGATATATTTTTTTCATGAAGTGAATAATTAACTTAAGACTTACAATTAGGCATTGGAAGAAAATACTTAAGAAAAAAGGCACAGAAGAAAATGAGGAGCTTTTGACCAGGGAAATCAACAAGCCTAAACCTATACACAACAGAGAAGAAATCTATCCACGTTTTAACCAAAACTCTGGGTCGTATGTAGATTTGGTGAACGAAAATTCTCGACCTGATGAAGAAGTTATCATCATGTCAACGTTCCAGAGAAGCACGTCAGAGAGTAATCATCAAGGTGATTAGAAACATCATCAGTGATGTATTTTTTATAAACGTTTTAAATAGAGAAACTCTCTTAACGGTTTCTTCTGTGTTCATTAAAAAAAGTGATTTCATAAGAATTCAGATTAGCGTCAGTTACAAAGAGTGTAAATACCAACAGGTAGTTCTGCTAAAATAACTAAGTATCTGTTTAAATATTTTAGATGCAAAGTCGTCTTAAAATCTAAACTCACCAGGGACTGTTTTCAGTAAGTTATCATTGGTATAGTATCATGAGGCCAATAAATTACATTTTAGGCATACATTTTAAAAAAATAATTAAAATCAAGTCTAATTATTTATATCAATAAATTTATATCTTAGAAAATTGTTAGAAATAATTTAACTAGTTACTAGCTACTAGAGAGAGCGAGGAAAACATTTTTTATAATTACATTTTCAATGGTTTAATTTAGATGTTTGTTTGCTCGCTAAGATGACGTTATGATCTACAAATTTCGCTTTATAGCGAGAAAACTAATACAATATAAATACGAGAATCAGTGAAGCAGTGAGTGAATGAGTATTCAATGAATGATTCAATTCAGTGTTAGTATGAAAACTATCGCGTCTTTTCAGTTACTCAGTGAGTTAGCATATTTGTCTATCAACCAATTAGCACGAAATTTCTGTTGAAAAGTGTATACGTACGTTCTGCGTACATTATTATCGCGGTTTCTGCTGAAATGTTGTTTTTAAACTTGTGTCAAAGTGAACCTAACCTGTAGGAAACGTTACGGGAAAAAAATCGTTATTGAAACGTGAAATGCGCTTGGCGTTATCTTTACCAAATAATCCTAATGATGGGAAACCTTATGATAATAAGTCACATACATATTGTTTACCAGACTTTTGAAACTTATTGAACATTTAATACGTGATCATAACGCACAATCGTGCCTTCGTGGATGTATGTATAAATAAGTTGCACACTATTTAATTGTTGTTTATCTGTATCTTTTGACCCCCACCCCATTAGCACAGCGGTATGTCTGCTGACTTATGACGCTAGAATCCGGGTTTTGATACCCGTGGTGGGCAGAGCACAGATAACCCATTGTGTACCTTTGTGCTTAATTACAAACAAAACAAACTATATCTTTTAAATACTGGTTCGCTGAAAATCCCAGAAAATGTGTGTTGATGACTTTTGAATTATACATGTGTATACCATTCTTTATTTAGAAGGAACTTTTAACGTCACCTGACGAGCGCGTAGCACCAGATTAAGAGTTTTATCGAATGCTGAGGAAACAATTTGTGTGATATATAATGGTGCAGCTTCCAGTTGTCTAATGTTTCGCTAGTGGCAGGTCACAAAGTATGAATGCTGTCTTACGAGCCGGACACTGTTATCAATTTAATAAATGTGTCATGGTTGGTTTTGGTCAATTTTATTAGTATTAAACTCCAATGTTTGTTTGTACTTTAAGTACAAAGCTCCACAAAGGGCTATCTCTGCTCTGCCCATCACGGATATCGAAACCCAATTTTTAGCGTTGTAAGTCCGCAGACATACCGCTGTGCCACGTAGGGGCAAACTCCATTGTAATAAAATGAATTATAATTTCACCCTTACATAATTAGTTTAGAATATATCTTTAATGATGTATATTCAGAAAATTATTCTAAATTTTCATGCACGTTTACATTTAGTTAATCAAAATTGTGTTGACCTTAAGGTCGAAAACATGAACCATCCATTCTTGTTTAGGTAAAAGTTACAGTATGAATCTTTGTTCTTTAGTCGTGCGCAGGAATGAGTGGTATTTTTAGGTTAAACTGATTTCCTCAAAGAGTATTATGTGGGTCCACTTTATAACGGGAGAACTGGCAGGATTAACTACAAAGTGATACTGAATTTATAAACTGACTGAGTTTTAAGCTAAGAAACAAAAAAAAAAAGACTGGAAACAATGTGTAATACAAAATGAGAACAATATTTATTCATTAAAAGACATAAAACACAGCGTGAATACTTGCGCTGGACACTGAACCTCACCTTTAACTGGACTTGGGAATTGATCAATATATATATATATATATTACCTCAAGATGCCTTCCTGTCGTTCCACCCACTTGAGATCCAGTGTATTACTCTTTATTAAATCTAACGTTTCTAATTTAAAGTGAAACGTCGGATTTACCCATAGCAACTGGCAATAACCACGTGATCAGTATTTTTTATTTATTATTTATCAATCTCAAGATATCGTTGAGCCAACTAGTGAAGGACACTGCTGTCATAAACATTCTTGCACGTTACAGCAATACTGCATGTGGGCAGAACAAGTATTATCTCTAGAGAACAACAAATGAACACAGGTAACTAGAACAAAGTCAACTTAATGGTTTCCTGGACCACTTGTTATACGAATATTGTATGTACATAAAATAAACGAAAATTTGTAAAAATTTCTACATATCGCACGTATACACGTTTCTATATGGACTCCAAGGAAGTTCGCCTGTTCAATCAGGTGATACAAAAACCCATATAAGCTGGCTTAGGATGGTTAAAATTGTATGCAGACTAATAGCTGAAGTTTGCAACCTAACGGTTTATTAGATACCATACTAAGATTTTGATCCAATTATAAAAGTTTTAATTACAGACGATTCTGGATCTTGATTTTTTTCGTCTCTATCTTGTGCAGAAATTTTGTACAGCTTATCTCCATCCTCAGTAGTCAGTTGTACAACTTATCTCCATCCTCAGCAGTCAGTCGTACAACTTATCTCCATCCTCAGCAGTCAGTCGTACAACTTATCTCCATCCTCAGCAGTCAGTTGTACAGCTTATCTCCATCCTCAGCAGTCAGTTGTACAACTTATCTCCATCCTCAGCAGTCAGTTGAGTTCAAACCATAGCCAGATTACCTGTTGAACACTTTGTCTTAAAGTAGCTCCCCCCAAAAAGCCCCCCCCCCCAGTGGCACAGCGGTATGTCTGCGGACTTAGAACGCTAGAATCCGGGTTTAGATATCCTATTGTGTAGCTTTGTGCTTAATTACAAACCACCCCCCCCCCCCAAAAAAAATAAAATCGAACTGTGTTCTTTAACTGTACTTTAAAATGAACTACATGAAGAAAACCCTTGAAAACGCGACTAAAAACACCATACGTAATGAAATAACACTTTTAAACGATGAAATAATCTTATACCAAAATAAAAAGTTAATGAAATAGTGCATAATACAAAATACTTTAAATTGAGTGTTATATTTCAACTGACTTTTGCAACAATCAATCTGTAGACATGACAAAAATTACAATATTTGTAGCTTTACATGTTTATATTGTGATTAAATTTCATTATTTTGATTAAATGTAAATTATTTTATAATTGAGTTATCGATACTTTTTAGCGAAAAATTTGATTATTTTCCCTATTGAAAACTTCGAGAATGTGCGGCCTGATGCAATATCTTCCTTTTTTTTGGGGGGGGGGGTCTTAATTGTTTTTGTGTGTGTTTCAACATATGACATATTGACTTTCACATTGTTGAATTTTTGTTAGTAGTTGATCGTTAATAAAGGTCCTAATTGTAAAAAAAGGTGCATGGTGGAGTTGGAGGGCCATGTTTGGTTAATCTGGTACTAATTTACACCATTAGATCCTCGCTAGTAAGTAAGTATATAGAACAGTGTGAATAAATATTTATTTTACCCGTTCACTTATGTTCCTTTGCCATATTTGGAATATCACTCAGATAACATTTTCAGGATCTACATTTTGCAGCTATTGTAAATTTATTTATTGGTTATCGAAGTACCTTAATACCATAGACCAGTTAAAAAGCAATATTTTGGTTTAGTGACAAAAGGATTTGTTATTATGGAATTTATTTTTAACGTATTTCTTTTTTGCGTTTGACTTTCTGGTACCTTAACGTTTGTTTGTTTGTAGTTTAAGCACAAAGCTATACCATGAGCTTTGCCCACCACGGGTATCGAAAACTGGTTTCTAGCGTTGTAAGTTCGCAGGCACGCCGCTGTGCCACTGGGGGCATAACGTTTGTAAATCGTGGTCATGGAAGGGCCTTTTCTGAGTCCATGTAGAACTTACAGAGGAGCGATGGAAAGTATATTATTCCAGTGAGGATTGATCTTAGTATGTGGAAGGGGCTAAGAAAAACACTCTTATAGACACGGGGATAATAACAATTTTGATTGTATATTTTTGTACCTAACTCAGCCAGATTCAGGGAAGAACAGACCCATAATAAAAACATTTAGAGGATCTACGGTTTTGCAGACCCTACTCATTTACATGAAAAGAAATCAGTGTAGCTGATACCACACTATATATCTATAGAAACCATTATGTGTTTCTCAATACAGGTATTCCAAATGTAGCTTTGGGTCGCGGGTTCGAATCCCCGTCCCACCAAACATGCTCGCCCTTTCAGCCGTTGGGCCGATATAATGTGACAGTCAATCCCACTATTCGTTGGAAAATAGTAGCCCAAGAGTAGGCGGTGGGTGATGATGATTAGCTGCCTCCCCTCTAGCCTTACACTATAAATTTAGGTCTACTAACAAACAAACAATCTCTTTGTCCCCCACCCCAATAAAAAAACAACAGAATCTCCGTTGCAAACAAACAAATTGTGTCAGATATATTTATAAGGCAGTGATATACGATGCTTTAGAAAAATATGGATTATCTAAAAATTTCCTCCGTTAGACTTAAGGGATAGTACCTACAATTTTACCTCGACCGTTGAGCTCATAGATTTAATTTGTAACAAGCGTTTTCATTCAGTGTCCTCTTTTTCCTCAGCAAATGAAATTCAAATATATGTTATTCTGAGCAAATCAGAGGCCATATTCTCATGTACCTGTTATGGTTTGCATGCTGTTATATATGTGTTTTAGTATGCATACACTATATATTTCACTCTCCCATGGTGTACTCGTAGTTTCTACACGATTTTTTATTTATTTTTTAGATTCTAATTTGGAACTTACCAAATTAATTTGAGATCATGTATTAAGGATTCCTTCACGGAAGCTAGCTACTGGTTCATGGGATAGTTGAATTATATCTTACTTTACCTCGAGTATATAGGACTTGTTGGCAACTGACACGTAGAATAGTTTTCGAATAGTTGTAATACAGTTTTCTGATTGGTCAGATATAAAGATGAATTAGCAGGTTTACAGTAATCGCGAAGCCAAGATTCGCTCATGAAATTCTGCGTTGTTTCATGTTTGTTTCTTCCAGTAACTGTTGACCGTGGGTGTTTTATTCTTTTATTCGCTAAATACAATTTGACATCATAATGCAATAGTTATGTCACCAACTAATCAGCGTCTTACCTTTAATTCTTCAACAAATAAAGTGTTTTATTTCAATTTTAAGATTGAGAGCTTATATACTAAAAACCGGGTTTCGATATCTTTGGTGGACAGAGAGTAGATGGCACAATATGTAGCTTTTCGCTTAAACACAAACAAAACAAACTTAGTGAATATGTTGATACACACTGTGTGGTTATAAGTTGAACAGTTTCTTGTTTGTTTGTTTTGTTGAATTTCTCGCAAAGCTACACAATGGGCGTTAGCTGTCCCTGATGTTGAAGTGATGATAGACTAGAAGGAAGGCAGCTAGTCAACACCACCCACACTCATGGATTACTCTTTACCAATGAATAGTGAGAATTACTGTCAAATTTTAACGCCCCCATGGCTGAAAAGGAGAGCACGTTCGGTAAAGGGATTCAAACCCGTGACCCACATTTTGTTAGTTGAGTTCCCTAACCACTAGGCCATGCCAGGTCCAAAAAAAGAGTTTGTAAGATTATGTTTCTTAACAATAAAACCAATTTCAGTCACGTTGATCAGAACAATTATTAAGACTCAATTATTCTTTCAGAATGAAAGAATATTAAAAATGGCTGTGTAAACGGAATTTACGCAAGATAAGGATAAGAGAGTGTTGTAACTATCAAATTATTCTATAAAGCTCTTCGAAGACTACAGCATAAGATCAGAAAATAGACATATATTCAACAGTATTCGTCAGCACTAAATAACAAATGACATCAAAATCTGGAAAAGTGCTTAGTGGCTCCATTGGAGCTATATGACGATAGCTGTAAATCCAAGTAAAAAATTATTATTATACTTAATAGAATATATACATATATATGTGTGTATTCAGCTCGCGGAATATCTATTAGAGTTTTACGATGAGATTTAAACATGCTGTGTTAATTTAAAGTGTGCCAATCTTTTATTATTTTCCTACCTTGATTTAGAAACTGATAGCAGCGAGGTACGTTCCAACCTTTCTTATCAGAAAATGAAAGTAGGAACTGCAGCACATTGGGCAAAAAACAAGAGAGTCAGCGATAACTTTAAACCTGGGTCTACCACAAATACCAAATCATTGTCCAACGGTTCTTCTCACACATCTGAAGATTCGTAAGTAAATTGTTTAACTTTCATTTAAAAAAATTGTAAAACCTAAAAGTATAAATATAGTAAAATTCCCTTACATATTACCTACATATGTAAACAGATTAATGTTTTATAAAGATTTTTACGCACACATACGGTGCAAGGCACTCCATTTCTGTGTATATGCAAAATATACTGATTATTTAATGTGTTAGATGATTGCCTGTTGGATATACAAGACTGTTTAGTGTAAGTGTTATTACTTTGTTTATTTTGTGACTTAATATTTAACGATTGTTTAATTTTTAAAACAGGGGTGTTGAAGATGGAATGTTTTAAAGGTGTTAGTTGTGACAAATTTCGTTACATAACTCTGTACAAATCTTACTTTGTGTTTGCAATTACAGTGTTGTCTAGGCTTTACTAATATTGTTACGTCACATTACTCGAATCTCGGTATTTTTCTCTTTACCTCAACTGAGTATTCTTACATCATCGCGTCGCGTAGCTTATAGAAAGTTCCAGGCCTCAATGATCAACGTATATATATAGAGGACCAAGTGAGCGCAAGTTTAGAACTAAAGAAGCAAAGTGAAGTGAAGTAAAGTGCAGTTCAGTCAGAAAAATAGTTAACAAAAGAAAACGTGAAGTTAGCTGGCGTGTGAGTGATTAGCTTTAACGGGTGATATTTTAAAATGAGTTTCACAATTTAATAGAGATAAGGAGAATAATTTGTCTTGTCAAAGGGTGTGCTAAGGTAATTGAACCAGTCTGTGGGAACTTTGATGAAAAGGAGACAATTATTTTAAGTGAAAGATACAACTGTGGCAACCCACAGAGTAACGTAAGTGAATTATTCACTGATTTGTATTGTTAAAAAAGAAGATGAAGAAAAAGAATTCATATGTCAATTGGATTCTAAAGTAATTGAATCAACCTGAGTGGACTTTTGACAAGAAAAGATAATCATTTAGAGTTTGAGATACAACTGTGATATCCATAGTGTAAAGAATTTGTGTACATACGTTTGAATTCTTTTGAATATATTGTTTTAAAACAAATGGAATGTGTGCTGTCCGTTTATTGTCGAATTTATCGCCAACAAGTCACAGACACCTACTGTAGAAGAATCCCACCCCATATTCTTAAAACCCCGACATTGCCTGACCTCTATGAATAAAGAATTATTGTCATATCATAGTTAGTTTAGTATGCAAGACAATGGGTGAAATCAAAGATCTTTTAAAGGGGCACGATAGGGAGATTCCAAGCATCACTCAAATACCTTAACGATACTTTTAACAAAATTTGACTGTGTTCCAGTAGAATAATTTCTTGAACAAAGGACAGGATTCAATTGTCGTTCATACTACGTGAAGAACGTTACAAAATCTGTGATATGGTAACCAACATCTTGCCAGAGAACCCCTTATTTCAGATACAAATAGAAAGAAAAGCTTCAGCGCATGGCACTTCGAGTGGAAACTAAGTGACTTATGACTTGATTTGATTGGTCAATTTTGAACGTTTTCTATGATTACGGTACAATAAAAATATAGAAGAAACCGTACGAGGCACTTAGTCCTTTTTGTGCTGTTCCAGTGACGTGGACTGCTGGAGGTGGTGCAGAGAATGTTTATATTTCATAGTTCGTATCGTTTGTTTTGTTTAAAAGAGTGATTAATATCTAAAATGTACGTAAATATTTATTACTTGTTATCATTTTCGCTCCACAATGTGCTTTTCCACCCTGATGAACAAGGGATTTCCAAGTCAATTGAACAATTTATGGTCTCATTTCCCGAATCTTATTTGGAGAACAAAACAGTGACTTCATTTGTCCTCTTTAGCCAACACCTTCTTTAGACATAAATTCCATTGACCGTCAATGGGATGAACATGGATACCACATTCATCAAAGACTGACGTCTGTGAATCACTTAGACGTTATGCACCTTGAAGAATGGGTTGTTATCGAACAAAACACTTTTCGGTACTTTATAGAAGGTTTATAGCACGACAAGTCCAAGCAATCATCAGTCTAATATTAAACGGGGATGGAAGGTGAAGAAGTCCTAATAATACCGAGTCAGTAATATATACTTGTGATGGCATAATATATATTTTCATCTATTTAAGTCTGTGACTACAGAGTCGAAAATAATTCAAGTTTATAGACAGTCAAAATAAACACTTGCTACTTTAAAATAAATTTACTGCATTTGCTTATATTTATATTGAAAACAACACATTACTCTGTGACATGAGCTTTACACAGCTATGAAGTAAGAGCACTAGCGCCAATTTTTCCAAACGATTGGGAGTTTTAGGTCAATATTTTGTACATCTTAAACGAGCTCAGCAGTCAATTGACTTTTGGGGTGTTCAAGAAATGGGGTTGCTGTTAATGGGTTATTATTAATTGTTTCTGAAGATTAAATCTTCAATATTTATTTTTCAGAGAAAACGATGAACACATTTATGAAAAAGTCGAAGCTAGAAAAAATGGGAAAATAGAACAGATAAACGATAGACCTACGAACCAGATAAATGAAAGTATACAAGAAGAACAAATGGAGAATAAGTCTCGAGACCACATAAGTGAAGACACGGAAAACAAAGATGATATTACAACAAAACTATAGATTCGTGGGAGACTGTATTTGGTTTGGCGACTCAATATTAGACCAGTTATTCCAGCTTTCGAGAAATTAATTGTATACAACAAAAGCGAAAACAATCTTATTATTATAAATTAATTATTTCTTTATGTTGATAAATTATTTCTATCTAGTTTTGTTCTTATGTTACGCTTCAGAAAGTTTCTGAAAATTACATTTATCAAAGTAGAAAAACAAAAATCGGTATGCTTTTTATATTTGTGAATTTTCTTTTGGAATACCACATTGTATAAGAAGTGTCATCATTGGGGACAGTGGCAGCTCTAAAGATGATGGATATGGTATATACGCCATTAGTTACTGTCTTTTTGGTTGGAAACTTTTCTTAGAATAGCTTTTAGATCTATTACATTTAGTGGTAAAAATTACTTTATAAAATGAAACAAGAGTAATATGAGCGTTTCCTTTGTTTGGGAAAATTAAAAAATACTTGGTATCTTAAAATGTTCTTATTTTTTGTATAAGAAAATGAGACAGGAAGGATTAATTTAAAAACTCGCATTCTGAGCAGGAGGATTCAAAATAAAAAAAAAGAGTTGGAACAACGCTTGTTATGAATTTCGCGCAAAGCTACACGAGGGTTATCTGCGCTAGCCGTCCCTAATTTAGCAGTAAAAGACTAGAGGGAAGCAAGCTGATCAACACCACTCACCGCCATCTCTTGGGATACTCTTTTACCAACGAATAGTGGGATTGATCGTCACATTATAACGTCCTCACGTCTAAAAGGGCGAGCATGTTTGGTGGGAGGTGGATTCAAACTCGCGACCATCAGATTGCGAGTTGAGCACCCTATCCACCTGGCCATGTACTCGCTATTCCAACGTTTTATTTATAAAAGGTGTCTTTATTGCTTCTCTTACATTCAGTAGCTTATATACACGAAAGATCCGCGATGAATTTAAATACTTTTTTATCAACGGGCCCCCCAGTGGCACAGCGGTATGTCTGCGGACTTACAACACTAGAAACCGGGTTTCGATACCCGTGGTGGGCATAGATAGCCCTTTGTGTAGCTTTGTGCTTAACTACAAACAAACTTATCAACGGGACTAAATATTTCAGTTTATTATTAAACATGTTTTGTACACGTTATCTACTGAAAATTGATTATGAATTTTATTAGTAAATAATTTTAAAAAATGATTGAATTTTTTATTCTTATTTTATCAACTGTGTTTTTATTTACTATTTTAATATTAAATGTTAACGATATTTGTTTTTTAGTTTCCTTTAATTCTTAAAAAAAATGTCTGCAATTTTTGCAAGATAAAAATAATTAAACTGTGTCAACAAATAAGTAACATCTATATTCAAATTTTGTAATGATTATTTTTAATTGATTGTTAGAAGTAATATGAAGAAATATATTTCTTATAGATTTTTTTTTACAAATCCCATTGTACAAGAAGAAGCTAATGTAGATACGTTTAAAAGTTACTCAACTTTAATGACAAAATCATATAATTAAACGTTGAATTTTCTCTAGTTTTTGTTGAATAGGCTACTGTAGTGTACAACTTTGTTGATGAAATGACTGCTTATCTTACTTATATTCATTACATATAGAAATTTTATAGCAAAAATCATACAGCTGTATTTTAACTCTATAATTATACTCAACTGTTTATTGGCCATGATGTATTTCTTACAGAGAGATTGAAAGTTACATATACATTTTAAATATGTTTTCTCGATGTTTCTTCCATCTCAAGAAATGAGTAACAAGGCAAAAACTTGTAATCCATGCAGCAGTAAACTTAAGGGTTTTTAACGCTAAAATTCGGATTCGGTCTTTGTGGTGAGTATAACGCAGGCAGCCCATTGTTCAGCTTTGGGCTTAAAACAAATAATCAATTTAAAATATATTTATCATATATGCAATATCTTAAACAGTATTCTAATCAATTTTAAAAAAATATGCAAAACATAAAGTGCTATGCCACAACCATTCTTACACTATTTTATTATAGTTATCTAATCGTCCATACTTAAAATATTTAAAATCCAAAATACTGATCCAAACTGTATCGGAATAAAGTATTTCTACATGATGCTAAAAGTATAACATTGATGAATTATTTAACAACATTCTGTTGTAACGTATTCTATGGAAGGGTGGATTAAGTTTGTTATTCGGTAAAAACAACGCAAAGTACAGTCTACTTACTTGTAGCTAGTTATCTGTATCTTTATTAATATTCTACAGGCCACTTCAATAGTAGGCCCAACTTTATAAATAATGCTTCGATACTACGCCTAATTCACAAATAAATCTTTTCTCTTACCAAGCTTACATATCATACCTTTCTTATATCAACGATACAATTTAAAACTGGTTCAATAACACACTCATTAATCCACCGATAACAGATTCATTAACTAATAAATAAATTGACTGACTCACTGAATGAATGAATTCTTTTAAACTCGTTCAGTTACTAATTAACTAACTCACTCTCTCTGGTGTTTAAATATTATAACATTTCTCCCCAAATTTTCAGAGAATTCCAGACATCAGGCACCCACCACCTCACGACAGTTCTAAAACTAATGAAACCCCCAGACGTTACACATAATTACTATGTAATGTTAAAACTTCCTCCAGTGAAAAACAACAAAAATTCATGAATTAAAATATTAAAAACATAGCCCACAACAATTCATTATAGTTTTGAAAATACCATTAACTCAGAAAAAACATTTAGAGCTTCTAAAATTGTATTTGTAGTCACATTTATGACAAAGCTTTTATAGTAACGTTGTTATTTCGTTGACGGTTTCCTTTAACTTATATGGTGAAAATAATTTAAAGTCCAGTCCACGTAAATGATAACAAATTACTTTATTTCTTCCTTAAAGCTTTTACAAACTGCCTTCACTGTATACAGTTGTAGACCACTTTTACAAATGACGCTTACTGCACCACACTAACGTAAAGAATAAACTATCTTGTATTTAATATCAACCCCCGAATTCCTTAAATTTTAGGTCTATCTGATCTTAAACTTATCATTATGACCCTCTAGCTAACAAACAATTTACAACACTGTCCCCTTCCTGGATTGTAAAGATTTATTATAAAATAGATACATAAAAAACTACACTAAACTATCCATTCACCAAGTATTTTTTTGTGTTTTTCGATGGGATGTTGTCTTATCCCTTGTTGTTACCTGTAACTGGAGGAGTTCGTCCTGGGTAGGTGGTCCAATGAATCTATTAACGGTTCCATTCTTGATGATCCTCTGGAAGTAATCTTGACCGAAACTCTGAGCCCCTCAGCAGATTACGTTTTTGCCTTGAAGTTGTTATCCAAAGTTACTAGATGGCATTCTCTCACCAGAATATTTACAAATGTGATCACAATGGATGACCTTTGGCTTGGATTTCTTATCCTGCTGTATTTTCTAAATCACATCACGGATTCTTTCAGCACAGCATATGGGCACCCTCCAGTATGTATTTAATTTTGGAGCTTGTCCTTTCTTACGTCGGGGATTATACAGTCATAACATGTCATTTCAATGAATTCAGTGCTTTGAGCATTAACACCATCGCTACCTGATTTAATTCTTTTTGGGGTGGAATCATGTATGACATTAATAGTGTTCCTTAATCCCTCTAAATATTCTGTATAGGGCTTTTCTGAGTAACTATTCTCCAGATGAGAATACAGGAGGTCCAATGGCACTTTAAGTTTTCTACTAAACATCAGTGATGATCTTGGATTGCCGGTAGCTTCATGTGCTGCTGTATGATAACTTATCAGTAACAGTGAAAGATCTTTATCCCACATTTTCTGATGTTCAACCATATAAATGGCTCGTTGATTTAACAGTGTGCAGTAGGATTTCTCCACCATGACATCAGAAGATGGATGAAAGGCTCTTGTCCGGCTCTTTGAAATCCAATGATCCTACACATTTCCACAAAAAGTCTTATTCATTGTTCTGTCGCTGATCTCATTGAAGTTCCATAGGCACACCAAATCTTAACACAAATTCTTTGAGTTTTCCTGGTTAGGAATAGCATATGTTGTTGGCCAATTAATGTAAAAGTCCATCATAACCATGATGCATCTATTCCTATTGTTACTCTGTGGCAGAGGATCAAGCTGTCGTAACAATATTGACAGTAACCTTTAAGTGGTGCTCTGACACAATCCTGCTGAAGCTGTCCATGGTGTTTCTTTCATGGACCTTTTCATTCACAACATAATTTACACGTTCTACACCAATTGTTCATAAACCCGAAATACCAAATGTGTTAGAAGCATTCTCTTACTTGATCCAGTGTTTTCTTAACACCCTAGTGCCCAGCCATTGGAAAGTTTTTGGCATGATAGAGTACTTCAGAATGTAGAGACTTGGGAAGTACGAATTGCAGTAGTTGTTTCTGTTCATTGGTATCTTCCCATTTCTGACATAATAAACCCTCTCTTTTAAGCATAAGGAATCCCATTTGGCTCAATAAGCTTTATTTTCAGCCGGTATGGAGCGACTTTTTGCCATGATAATTTTTCTGCACTATTCTTGAGCCAATGAACAATTAATTTTAATCTCTTATATCTTGCGTGAGCATCTTTCAAACGAGTGTTGAACCACACCAGTTCTTCATCATCACTTGTGGATAACACTTCTCAAGTTACACTTTCTGTAATTTAGGTTGGTTGTACTTACTGTCTTATGTTTACCTCTTTACACAATGTTTACAATCTTCATTAATGCAAGGTATTTGGGATAATGTATCAGCATGTAATGATAATGTATCAGGGTGATGCTCGATTCTAAAGTTGTATTCCCGGAGTTTTGGAGCCATCTTACTATCTGACCTTCTGGGTTGTGAAAATTTGACAGTCCTTTCAATGCTGCATGAACTGTCTGGAGCATAAACATTTGTCCATATAGACAATGAGGGAAGTGATTCAGAAATCGAATAACATTTAGTAGCTCCTTTCGTGATGTACAATACCTCTTTTTGTTTGCTGCTATAGTAGGCAATCACACGTTCTCTCCACGTTGTATTTGTGAGAAAACCAAAAACTGCTTATACTGCAAACTCACTGACATCTGTATCTAAAGTTAGTGAATCTTCCAAGCTGAGTACACAAATACAGAAATAGTGCCCAGTTCCTCCTTCAATTTGTTGAATGTATGTTCACAATAGGCATTCCAACAGAATGGGGTTTGGGGTCCTTTTTAATTCACCATATAGTAACGCAAATTAATTTAGGTGTGTGAATATTATTATAACATATCGTTTAATTTATTATTCGATTCTATACAATGGACTAACTACTTAATATGTTACAGATTTCTTTTCATTTTCACTGATGACGTTTTATTTTTTTCAAGTAATTTCTGTAAGGTCATTTGACATTGGTCAATTCTGTACAAAGTCAGTCTTCAAGGGATCGGTGAAATCTCCTCGTCTCCTGACTATGTGTCCCAGGAACTCACCTCTACTCTACTTCTCCTTGTTCCTTCATGGCTTCTATCTCTTGAAAAGTCTCAACCAATTTTGTAAGTGTAAGTCGTCTTGCTAACAAATGTTTTGGGCATGCTTCACCAGTATCAATCTTGTGATGTATTTTATTTATTGGACCTAAATAGTGAGTTCCAGTGGAGGAGGTGTCTTGATATTTTGTGAGCAAGTTATGTGACCACCAGCATTTATCAGTTGTAGGACCCCCACAACTGTTGTCATACAACTCTCGCAAATGAGGTGGTAAGATCTTCTCATGCAAATATTTGAGTTCAGACTTCCTGCATCGTTCCTTAAAAATGGTTACTTTTGATGTTCTTTGATATAGAAATATGCCTGTACAGCCTCAATTCTAGCAATGTCTCATTAAGATTTTATCCGAATTTTTGGTTTGATGTGTACATGGTTCTAATGATGACATCTTTATTTTTTAGATTCACGAAAGTTCTACCAACCATTAATCCATGTTTAATTCTATTATTGCTCAGTCAGTAGATGTAAACCTATTTTTAGCAAGTCCTGGTGTGAAAATTTCACTTATTGGTGGTACAATGACTGCTTTTCTTGTTATTACAGGAAGTTTACTATATGTTGTAAGAATTGCCATGTTGTGCACAAGGATTGTCTAATCATAAACTGTGAAGCTATTGGAAGATAGAATAAACCAGGCATTCATGTTTACACATGAAATATGTTCCCAATATACACTCTTCTATGATTTCAATTATCCACAAATCATGAGGCATCCTCTAATTTCCCTTTTGTTGGAATCTTATGGCCACTTGCTGTTCACAACACAGGCAGATGTAATAGTATTCTAAGGTGAGATTTTCTGATGTCTGGCTAGCCCTTAGTTGTCCATTTCTTCTCGTTGGGCTTGAATGCCCATCCTTAGGGTATTGCTTTGTTGGTGTCTTAATAGCTGTGGATTATTCACAGTCTCATCTGAATTGGCTAGGCTTACCATCTCTATTACAACTTATTCTTTCTGATATCCTTTGGGAAGAATTTTTACTCCCTTCAAAATTTTGCTGCATGTTTTTGGAAATATGATGCTTCATGTTACACTTTAAATACTCATTATTCTATGGCTTATTTCCTCTATTCTGTGCAACTAGTTGTATAATTTATCCTTTTAATTATTCTGAACTGTTGTTAATTGGAGTTGATGGTTTTATACTACTCGATATAATGATCCTGTAACTTTGAGGTCGTATTTTCAGCTGTTTATCTACTATTTTAAAGGATTCTAGTTTCATTGACAATAGCAGAACTTGTTTTAAGGATTTACATTTGCTTTTTTTAGCCTAATTCTCATATCTTCATCTGTTATGGCATCTATAAATTGGTCACGTACCAATTAATTCATAATTTCATGAGAAGTATTTGGGTAAGATAATTGGACAAGCCTTTGCAATTCTTCACCAAGTTCGCCTAAGAAATTTTCCTTCCTCTGTACTTTGTTATAGAACTTTGCTTTGGATATTTCCTTCTGATGTGTTACTCCAAACCTGTTGGATAATGGGTGACTTGTTCGCTATTCCACCCCCTAACTATAGAAATGCTTTTGCACTGAGCCTTGTATGACTGCCATGGTACCTTCCCATTATAGTCCATTGGTACCTTCCCATTATAGTCCATTGGTTTCTATATTGGCTGATGTTGAACTAGCCAGGTGAATTCTGAAACTGGATTTGGTAGCATCATGGCTGAAGAAGTCCAGGAAGGTCCTTCAATAACAAGTGGTACAACAAAGTGGTAATAGTTATAGATCAAGTAAGTTCTCCTTTTCCATATCTGGTAGAAAATGATGTTTTTGGTTGGAATAGTCAAGCCATGTAGAAGTGGTGTGGGTAGTTTAAACTTTGTATTTAATAATTCGTTTTCCAGATGCTTTTATCTGTCACTGTTCTATTTCACATCATTGTTGTCTTTCTTTGCTTCTATTTTGTCTTCATTAATTTTGTCATCCCAACTTTACTGTACTTTTTCAATTTTGTCATTACAGCGTTTCCATGCTTCTTCAATCGTATTCTTGTGAATTTTTTGTACACCTTCATTAGTTTTATCGATCTTATCTTTAATCAGATTTATTCATAATCTAAATTATTCCTTGAATATTATTATTACCTTCATAGTTGAACCTGAATCTGAAGTATATTCAATGCTCTATCTATTTTAGCCAAATAATTGTCCCTCCACCCTCCAGTGACTCAGCAGTAGGTCAAGTGACTTATAACGCTAAAAAAGCAAGTTTCAATACTCAGGGTGAGCACAGCATATATAACTCATTATAAAGTAAAATAAAATCATTTCACTTCTGACGCTAATGTTGTAGCATCGATCTTTCATTAATGGGCTTTTTAAAATCATTTGTTGAAAATAATTCGAAGTACATTCCATGTAAACGGCAACAAATTAAATTATTTCTTCCTAAACATTTTTACAAGCTGCATTCACTGCGCACAGTTGTAGGTCATGTTTACAAGTAATACTGACTGCACTATATTAATATACAAAATAAACTTACATGTACCATTTCACAGATGAAATGAAAAAGCAAACAAACGGTGTCTGATTTGCTCTACTGGCTAGAAATGACTCTACTATCTTGAAACAACTCTCCAACCCAATCTTGATGACTATCTCGGACTTATAATTTAGCATGGAACGTACTAGAAACCTGACGTCGAATGCAATAGAATCAAAACGAATCAATAGAAACAAAACGATCACTATATTATTATTATCATTAGTAGTAATGAAAATAATTGTTAATGGAACATGTATGGCAATCGCAGGAACTTTTTTCTCACTTATTGCTGCATAGAATAGATTTCTAGATGTCGCTTTGTGTGACAGTTGTTGGTTGCTGGTACAGTGTGGAAGATAGGTTATACTATCAATCGTTTATCATTTTTTCAATCGTGTTAGTGTTTGCTACGTGTCAAGCTAGAATTTTTTACGCTGGTATGAAGTCAAGATTGTATTAATTGTATGTTATTTATACATTAGCATTTTCAGTCATGTCGAACGAAGATGTTAGTATTAAAAATATACTTTATATATTGTTATTATGTATTTTGTGGTATTCAGTTAGCTCGGGAAATAATGTAATAAGTAAAACAATATTAAATGATTTCCCTTTTCCAATGACGTTAACTATGATACAACTTTTGGTAACTACGTTATTATCAGGCCCATTATTTGCTCTTTGGAGGATTAGACCATACATTAATATAAGTAGAACGTATTATTGGAAATTAATTGTTCCTCTAGCTTTAGGGAAGTTTTTTGGATCCCTATCATCACATGTGAGTTTATGGAAAGTTCCAGTTTCATATGCTCATACAGGTAAGAAAAACGTTTGTAGTATTATTATATATATAATTATAAATGACATTGATATACTAACTTTATATGATAATAATATGATCTTCCGCTGTTTCTGACAAAAACATTCGTACCTAATTCATAAAATTAAAAGTCTAACGGTGTAAATAAAATGTTGATTCAGTATACCTTCTAGTTCTAAGCTATGTACAACTTGTTGCACGTGTTCACTCAGTCAGACTATACCAAACCTGTGTCACTTGTTGACATGCGATTGTTCTTCCAACACATAAATGATAAACAATAAATATCACTTGTTAATTCATGGTACATCCAACTTCTGGGTGTTGTATGGCTTCCCTAAAAAATGTGTACCAAACTTTTGTGTTTTGATACATTAACCCAAAACAACTTCAGGAATTTGTTACATCTATTGAGAACATGAATAGACATAAACTCATACAACACATTGTTTTACATTTGCTAGTGTATTATGAAATTGAAAGTACATCTGATCTATTACTTTTCATACAAATTTATGATCATGCAGATTAGTATGTGTTAACACTGAAACTAATTTTATAATGTTATGAACAAAGGAAGTGTAGCTGTATTAACAGATGAACATACATTCAACCTGTTGCTAGTGGTACACGATATACCAGTATTTTGATATAAGTATTGACATGTAAGTTTAATTTCAACCTCTTTTTCTCTTATTTTACTTATTTTGAATAACCATAAACATATGTTGATGCATGAACTGCTGTACATATGCTAGTCATAAATAATTTTAAAGTGATATTTTTGTTTTGTCAAATTGAGGAAAACTATCATTATAGATTATTCCTGAAAAAACATAACAAAACCCAAAATAGGAATCTACAAGACCATGTCTGGAGACAAATAATGTACAGTGTCCTAGCTCTATGTAATACAGCATCTAAAAATTTAGATTTACTCACAACTGTACATAGGGTTGGGCTACATGTTTCATTATGCAGGGGTACTACAAATTGAAATTTATTTAAGAAAAAAAAATTTATTAAAATAAATTTGTTTAAATGTGTAAATATTGATGTCATTGAAGTCTAGCTATATATTATTCAGTGTGGGTTTTGGAAGATAATATTAAAATAATCAGTATGTTATTATTGCTGACAAAATAGGATACAAATAAAGAAAAAACTTTTCGAAAATGGAAGTAAATGTATGGATAGC